GGAAGAAATGGAACAGGTGGTTGACTGCCCACCCCCCAAACTGCCTTGTTTGCTATGAGACCAGAAGAAATGGATGGTGCTCAGCTATCATTACTAAACGTTTTGATCAAAGATTCTAAAGAATCCTGACCTCTAGGGAGAAAAATGCGGAGGAGAATTCAACTCTCATGGAATCCAGACTTCTGGATTCTCTGAGGGTAGGTGAATCCCTAAAACTCCTGCCCAGAGATAATCTTCAGCCCTGAAACCATGAACCAAAAAAAAACATCCCCTGAGCTTTCTTTTAACCCAAACAACAGTCAGCCTAACTGGTAAAGACTATCTGCCATGAGCACTGTGCTCCTTTAACCAACTGACTAGATGGGAACCTACCAGTAACTGCGAGCAGCAGCTCCCAAGGTTAGAGAGGGTGCTTACAGGGACGGGAGTTCAATGTCACTAGGGCAGAAACAGATAGGAAAACTGGGCAGGAAGGGCTACAATTAAAAGAATGTAATCAATGCCCTGTATAACAAATGGAGGAGGAAGAAAATTGTTGCAAACTGTATTGAGTTGGAAGGAACCACAGCTGACATAAAGAAGGAGAACATGTTTCACTGTGTATCTTTTCAACAACTAAAAAAAAGTCAGGACAACAACAACAGGGTAAAGAGGCTCTAAGACCGAAAAGTTTGAGAACCAGCACTATGGAAAACAAACGAAACCCACCGCCGGCTGGTTTTTGAGCTGCTTGAGCTGTGGTCATGCAGTGGTTAAAGCATTTGGCTGCTAACCAAAAGGTTGGCAGTTCGAACCCACCAGCTGCTGTGCAGAATGATGAGCCAGTCTGCTTCTGTAAAGATTACAGCCTTGGAAACCCTATGGGGCACTTCTACTCTGTCTTGTAGGGTTGCTTTGAGTTAAAATCGATTTGATGGAGGTGGGTTTTTTTGGTTTGCAGGATTAGCAGCCACGTAGAGAGTGAGATAACCGGAGATATGGAGGCCTCTAGAGGGCGTTGACAGCCAGTTAGCAAAAGAGTCCTGGTTAGAAGTGAGGCCTTCTAGCCTTCAGCCCTTTGCTGTCTGTCCATCACACTGCCTCTTAAAGAATGCAACACAGTCTAAGAGAAGACAGAACACAGGCATGCAGGTCCCATATGAGGAAATCCACTGCTCTTGGTTTGAGTCTGACTCAGTAACCCTAGAGGACAGAGGAGAAATGACTCATAGGATTTCCATGGCTGTAAAATCTTTACGGACACAAAGCCCGAACCAAACCCACTGCTATCGATTCTGACTCATGGCACCCCTAGAGGGCAGAGTAGAACTGCCCCATAGGGTTTCCAAGGCTGTCAGTCTATACTGAAGCAAGACTGCCTCATCTTTCTCCTTTGGAGGGGCTGATGAGTTCCAACCACAGACCTTTTGCTTACAGTAGAGCACTTAACCACTGTGCCACCAGGGCTCCAATGCTACAGAGGCCAGCTATAAATACCTGCCCTTAAAGGACTCAGATTCTAACTGGGAAAGAGAAAAATAAAAAATTAAAATATGTCGCATATCAGATGGTGATAAGCCGTCCAGAGAAAACAAAGCAGAGAAGGATGACAGAGCGCCAGGGGTGGAGTGGGGGTTGTGCGCTTTTAAGTAAGGTGGCCAGGGAAGGGCTCTGGACAAGTCGTCCTTCAGAACAATGAGTGGAGGACGTGGCGTCCCTCCACAGGCTCGCATCCAGCCATCACCTGTTGCGCGCCTGCTGTGCTGGGCTCTGTCGGTCGTCAGCCCCTCGCATGCATTCTTTCAATGACTCCTCACAGAACCCAGAACTGGATTCTCTCCAATCCTCCAGGTTTTCTCTAAGGCCCCAGGCCCCCATGACTTTTCACTTCTATCTTTAAATCTGATTCTGACCACACCTCTCCAAAACCAAAGCTCAAGAGCTGGTACCTACTTAAAGCTGAAGTGGTGGACAGGAACACCTCTGCACAGCAAATGAACATAGGCCAGGGGTTGAACCCTGGGCTCCCACGAGCCAGATCCAGGCCTCTATGAGTTTTGTTTGGCCTGTATGATGTTTTCAAAACCCATGAAAATAGGGCTTTCCGGCTTCTTTTGATAAAATCCCAAGGCCTGGGCCCACCTCCTTCCTGCAAGGCGCACCCTGTTCCCGGTCCTGTCTGGCCCTGAGATGACTCAGCCAGGCTCTGCTCTGCTGTTTTAGGTAGGAACCAGGCCTCCTCCACATCTCTGGTTCCTTATCTGTATACAACAGGAGTGGCCCTCCTCATCTTAGAAGGCCTACAGGGCTCTCCCACCCAGTGCCCATGGGAATAGGGGGCACGTGGGCTCCAAGCAGCCTGAGTAGGTAGAAACAAGGGCTTTCTATCCAGGCATCCTACGCCAACCAAAGCAGGGAGGAATGGAAGGAAAGAGAATCCATGAGGGACACATAGGGTGAGCAACTGCTCTGGTTTGCCTGGGATTGAGAGGTTTCCTGGGACACAGAACTTTCACTTTTTAAACTAAGACACCCAAGGGACACCAAAGAGGAAGTCCACTTCTCCCCATCCTCAAAGCTGAAACGGAGGAAGCTCCCGTGGCTGCTGGGTTTCCTGAAGGGATACACACACAATGGATGATTACAGATCACAGCTGATGTCAAGCACGGGCCAGGTCAAGAGCCAGACCCATGAGGCCTTCTGGGGCATGAATTGAGCCTAAAGCCTCAGTGATTCTACGGTTTTGTACGCAGCAGAGGCAGCATGGTTCCAGCCAACCTTCAAGGGCACTCTCAGTATTTGAACTCTCCTGGCTGATCCAGCCTAGACAGGTCCCTCGGTTAAGGGGAAAAAAAAACCAAAGCCCACTGCCATTAAGTTGATTCTGACTCACTGTGACCCCCGTTGGGTTTTCAAGGTGGTAAATCTTTACAGAAGTAAATTACTCCATGCCTTCTGCGGAGCAGCTGGTGGGTTTGAACTGCCAACCTTCTGGTTAGCAGTCAAATGCCTTATATACTGCACCACCAGAGTTCCTTAGGTAAAGAGAGTAGGGGTCTATGTTGAGCCCCCAAGAAGTCCTCTCATCTCAAGCACAGCAGGATGCTTAGGGCTAAAATGCCCATGGAACTTCAAGGCACACAGGTACCTTCATTGAAACAGGACCAACAAGCTCATCTGGAACCCTGCCTTTCCTCCATGGTCTGGACAGAGTGAAGAAGTAGTGTCCCCTGTGGCAAGGTCTCTTGAGGCTGCAAACGGACACTTCCTTCCCCTTTGATCCATGCCAGGATTAAAACTCTAGTCCTTGCTTAAAACAGTGAAAGGATAAATCCTTTAGGCAGGTGAGCTCTTCATCCCTCACCTACTGCTGCCCATTACCTTCCTCTCTGCCTTCCAGATTTCTGACCCAGCTCTTGTTGTTGTTGTTATGTGCCGTCGAGTCAGCCCTGACTCATAGCGACCCCTCCTTGGGTTTCCGAGGCAGTATCACTACGGAAGTAGGATTGCCCAACCTTCCTTCCGAGGAGTGGCTGCTCTAGCCTCTCCTCAAAGCACATCCAGGCTTAAGGTGAGCATCTTGAATCCTTCCATATAGCACATTAGCTGGTTGTTTTCTTTGCAGCACTTAGCACTTGCTGAAAGTCTTTTGTTGTTGTTGTTATTTGCCGTCGAGTTGGACCCGACTCATAGCAACCTCTCCTTGGGTTTCCGAGGCAGTATCACTACAGAAGTAGATTGCCCAACCTTCCTTCCGAGGAGTGGCTGGTGGGTTTGAACCGCCAAACTTCCGGTTAGCAGTCAAGTGCCTTAGGCACTACACTTCCAGAGCTCCAAAAGTCTCTTACTCTTTCATTATCTGCTCGTTTACTGTCTGTCTCACTGTACTAGAATGCTACCTCCTTAAGGGCAGGGCCGTCAGCTATCCTATCACTCATGTTCCCAGCACCTACAAAAGCACCTAGACTTAGTAAGTGCTTGAAAAAATACTGAATGGACCAATGAATGAACAACTCTCCACTGTCCCTTCCTGAGTCCCAACATACATACTTCCCACCAGGAAGCGGCACTATGGTTAAAGACAAGCGCTCTCAGGGCTGCCTGGGTTCAAATCCTGGCTCCAACCTGGGCAATTTACTTAACCTGTGTCTCAGCTGTCAGAAGTATAAAATATGGAAGTGAAGATTCAATGGGAGAAGGTGTGTAAAAGACCTGGCAAGTGTTAGGTCTTCTCCATTAAAATCTCCCACCATTCTGCTCATTCATGCCACCTCTTCTGTAAGCCCTTGAAGACCAGACCCAAAGGGGAGGACTTAAAACCTCTGCAGTCACCAGCTGTGTGACCCTATGCAAGCCACCTGTAACCTCTTTGGGCCTCCATTTCCCTCCCTGTACAGTGACAATCATCTATGTAAAGAGCTTAGGAGCTCTGGTAGCGTAGTGCCTAAGGCACTTGACTGCTAACCAGAAGACTGGCGGTTCAAATCCACCAGCCACTCCTCGGAAGGAAGATGGGGCAATCTACTTCCGTAGTGATACTGCCTTGGAAACCCAAGGAGGGGTCGCTTTGAGTCAGGTCCGACTCTATGGCACATAACAACAACAACAACATGTAAAGAGTTTAATGTGAGCCACATAGGATGCCCTTTATAAGTTTCTACTGTTAATTATTATTGGAGATAGTATCAGAAGCATCCCCCTCTCTCTCTTCTTTGTCACATTTTGTTACCTTTAAGCACTTGACACTATTAGTTGTTTATCTTGTCTGTCCCTCACACTAGAATATGAGCTCCCTGAGGGATGGGATTTGATGGTTTTATTTACTGTTGTATCCCCAGGGCCTAGAACAGTGCCTGGAATGTCAGGTACTCAATAAATCTTTGTTTAGGAAAGGAGTGGAAAACAGTGTCCCATCAGACACTGGCACTCAAGAGTGACCATATGCTGGTCATAAGGCAGCCAGCACACCACCGAAGTGAGCCCTGTCCCCCTGCCCTATCCCCAGGCCTGCCCAACTTACTTCCTGTAATGGTGATCCTCCGGCCCTGGTAGTAGTCACCCAGGGTCACAGCATCACCCTGCTTGGTAGCCACGACCCTGACGGTGCGCACACTGTCATCGCATGACACGTAGGGATTGTAGCCGGAGTTAACAGTTGCCACCTGGGCGTTGAGCTGGTTGTCGACGCTGGCCGGGGAGAAGGCGTCAGCAATACGGTCCCGGCAGAAGGACTTGTACTTCCACATCACAATAGGCATCGGGAGGGTTGTGGTCACTTGGTAGGTGCAGGGCAGGGTCACAGGCTGGAAGAGGATCACTACGTGGTAGGGGTTTGACACGGTCACCTGGACGGCGCTGGCAGGAGCTGAGGCAAAAAGAGAGTCAGTGAGGAATGTGCTGTGGACCGCCTCAAGGACAGCTCAGAGGAGTGCTTCAGCAGGAATGAGCAACATCACGTGTCACTGGCTTGACACTTAAAAGGGTATGGTTTTACAGAGCGCCCGGCACACACTGTTCCTTACTTCTTAGGACCAGTGAAGTAGGTATGATAATCATGCCCATTCTGCAGATCCACAGAGCTGAAGTGGCGGGTGCAACGTCACAGGCCAGATTCTTTGGAGGGACTCCTTCCCTCTCCTCTCACCCATCTCAGCCTCCTCTGCCCTTTGCCAGTCTCTCTCTGTGGCCTGTACCAAAAAAACCAAACCCACTGCCATCGAGTTGATATGACTCACAGCGACCCCCTTCAGGCTTCTAAGATGGTAAACTCTTATGGAAGTCGACTGCCCCTTCTTCCTTCCAGAGAGCAGCTGGTGGGTTTGAACCACCAACCTTCTGGTTAGCAGTCAAATGCCTTAGGCACTGCACCACTAGAGCTCCTTGTGGCGTAGACAGACAAGCCCAAATGGCCAGTGCAGTGCCTCCAGTGCCCAAGGCATCGCTTTAGAAGGGAAGTGCCAAAGATCCCAAGTTTAGGTTTTGTGAATTTTGGGGCAATTTTTTGGAGTTGTTTATTGAACTGCTATGCCATGGAGTGGCTGAAGCCGCTACCATAACTCCATCAGCCTCCCATCTTCCTCTACCCAGTCACCTCAAACGAATCAGCCAGAAGTGCTTGCTGAAAGATAAAACTCCTCTCGCCCTCACTCAAACAAGTACCACATCCAGGTAAAAGCTGTCAGCAGGAGGTGGTTTCAATCAAGTCCCTATTTCCATCTCCTTCAGAAACTCTGGGGCTCGCGGGAAGTGAGTGGGGTGGGGAGCGGGGAGTCCCCAGTTCCGCACCCACCCGAGGCCTGAGAGCTATTTCTTGATCTCTCATTCCAAGAAGGGTCTGATCCAGCCCTCGCGGGCCGTTCCCCGGTACCTCACGACTTAGAAGTCCTGGGGTGCGCCCAGGTCCCCAGGAGGGCCCGCACTCCTACTCCACAAAGGATCTCATTCTCCCTACAACTCCCGGGCTCACGGTCCGCGGAGTTTCACTTCCTGTAACTCCAAACAAGGGCGGGGAACGCTCCCCCGCATGGATGAGGAATTCTCACCCAACACATACGAGGTCTCCCGGAGCCACCGTCAGGAGGTCTGACTCTCTGCGCTCCGCTCGCCCCCGCCAAGCTCTCCCGCCTCCTCGGCCGCGCACAGCTCTATCCACCCCCCTCCCCATGGTGCCGTCTCGCAGCTCCGCAGCACCAGGGTCCCCTACCCACACCCCATACCTATACAAAAGGTGCTGAGAAAGAGCCAGACGAACGAACCCCGGCCCCAGGCGGCCGGGAGGGAGCCCAGCCTCCGGGAGAGGCCTCGGGCCGCTAGCGCCATCACAGCCGTCTAAGCGCTACCGTCCCGTGCGTCCCCTCCCAGGTACCAGGCGGGTAGGGGGCGCAGCGCGTACCAAGGCCGGGGGTGTGCATGCTCCTCCCCTTCCCGCTTCCACTCCTTATCCCTAATCCCAACCCCCCTGCCGCATTTTAGGAGCTTTATGAACGGAAATAACGTGGGTGAAGGAGCACAATTTTAGCTTTCGGGGAGAAGCTTGCATGACCCTCTGTGATCTCCGAACACTCCCCCCCTGCATTCTCTAGGGAATGGATCCACCCAGGTACGCGAGGGTGGGAGCAAAGGGCTGGGCTTGGGGTTGTGCGTGGGGAGGGGCTCCTACGCCTCCCTCCCCGGAAGTGGGCTGACCCAGGTGCGCCCAGCCCTGAGGGGGCGGGACGAAGTGACCGGTCCATCAGGAGGGCGCCACCACGGCGCGGGTCCCGATCGGCCCCTGCCTATTCGGACTAAGTCCTGTGAACCGAGATCTACGAGGACGAAGACCGATTCACCTGTTGAGAAGGGGCCGATCCCGCTGCACACCTGTTCTCTTCCTGCCCACACCCCTTTCTCCGACAGCCTATAAGCCGGCCAAGGGACACCCTCCGGGGAGAGGAGAATCTAACCGCGCTTCCGGCGGGGAGAGGCCGGTCGGTTTCGCCCGACTATGCCACTGGCACTCAGCTACCTCCCGTGTGGGTGGAGCTGCGGGCCTCCTGTTCCTCCCCGTCAGATGACTTGGAGAAGTAAGCAGTGGGAAGCTTTGGTTCCCTGGGGATTTCCAAAGGGCCCAAGGCTCAAGAAAAGTTAGTATTCTGCCTCGGAAGTTTTCTCTGTCCACTCTCCTTCTCTACACATGGTTTGGCTGCCGGGCATCCCTGGCTCAGGGTCAGGCCCCCGGGAACTCTGAACCCAGGCGCCTGGCCACTTCCGCGGAAAGATTCCCAAGGACCGGGCCACCTGTGCGGGATCTCGGGGCGCGCCAAACGGAATGCGGGGCGTCAGCGCGACTCTGCTGACCCCCTGTGGTGGCTCAGGGGAGCGCCTTCAGGAAAATCTTAGGCGCTTCCTCTCACTGTTTTTAGGTGCCATAGACGCTTCCTCTCACTGTTCTAGGTGCCATCCAGTCGTTCTGACTCATAGCGACACTATGTACAAAAGAACGAAACACTGCCCGGTCCTGCGCCACCCTCCCGGTCATTGCTGTATTTGAGTCCACGTTGCAGCCACTGTGCCAATCCATTGCGTAGAGGGTCTTCCTCGCGGACCCTGTACTTTTCCAAGCATGATGACCTTCAGGCCCTGGTTCCTCCTGATAAAGTGTCCAAAGTACGAGAGAAGAAGTCTCGCCACCCTTGCTTCTAACTTGTAGTTCCCGTAACTGCCAGCAGGTACCAAAGTCCTTACTCCGACCGGTCTTAACCCCTCCGCCCCACCACCTCCCGCTGTTCGCTGGCGCTCGTCTTCAGCCCTGCTGGCCTCCTCGCTGTTACGGAGTATGCTTTTCCCACCGCAGGCCCATTGTTACTGGTAGTCTTTCTCTTCCTGAAATACCGTTCCCCAACATGTCCACGTGAACCCCTACCTCCTTTATGGCTTAACTTAAAGATAATTTTTGCAATCACACCTTCCCGGACCACTTTGTATCACATTTCAACCTGTTCTCAACCTTCCCCAAAATGTCCTGTGTTTTCTTGTTTAACGTTTCTCCTTAGTTGGTTGGTTGGTTGGTATGTGCTGTGGAGTCGGACTCGACTCATAGCGACCCCTCCTTGGGTTTCCGAGGCAGTATCACTACGTAAGTAGATTGCCCCATCTTCCTTCCCAGGAGTGGCTGGTGGGTTTGAACTGCCAGCCTTCTGGTTAGCAGTCAAGTGCCTTAGGCACTATGCTACTGGAGCTCCCTTAGTAGTTACCATTTTACATATTAATCTGAGTCATTGAGTGTCTCACTTATAGCCTTCCATGAGATTTTTCTGTATTTATCATGTCCCCAGAATTTAGAATAATGTCTAGAACGCAGTAAAAAAACCAAACTCACTTCCGACGAGTCGGACCTGACTCATAGTGACCCCTCCTTGGGTTTCCGAGGTGGTATCACTAGAAATAGATACCCAACCTTCCTTCCTAGAAGTAGATACCTAACCTTCTGGTTAGCAGTCAGATGCCTTAGGCATTCAATAAAATGTTATTAAACAAATGCTATCTCACATAATAATGTGAATTTCCACTTCTTTTGAAAACTCAGCCTGCCTTCTGCCCTGGCAGCATTGAGCTAGAATAAAATAACACTCACTCCCTTTACAAGGTGTCCACAGGCCTGGGTCTGAGCCAACCCTCATTCACATCACCTGAAGGTTGGGCAATCTACTTCCGTAGTGATACTGCTTCGGAAACCCAAGGAGGGGTCATTTTGAGTTGGGTCCAACTCAATGGCACATAACAACAACAACAGCCTGGTCCCTGTGGTATTTGAACTTTGCACCACTACCCACCTCACAGAACATTATTAGTGACTGTTGTGAGTTGAATTTTGTTCCCCTAAAAAAATATATGGAAGCTCTAATCCCCAATACTTGTGAATGTGACCCTACTTAAATATAGCATCTTTGCAGATGTAATAAAATTAATATGAGATCATACTGGGTTAGAAAAACCCAACCCAATCCACTGGCATCAAGTTAATTCCAACTCGTGTCAGAGCAGACCACAATGCCATAAGGTTTCCTTGGCTGTAATCTTTATGCAAGTAGATTGCCAGGTCTTTCTTCCACGGTACCACTGTCGTTGGTAGGTGCCCTTGAGACATTTCTGATCCATAGCAAGCCTGTGTACAACACAGCAAAACACTGCTCAGTCCTGTTCCACCCTCACAGTCGTTGTTAGTTTGAGCACATTGTTAACCCCCACTGTCTCAGTCCATCTCATTGAGGGTCTTCCTGTTTTGCGCTGACCCTCTGCTTTACCTGAAATGGTGTCCTTCTCCAGGGACTCGTCCTCCTGAGAACATGGCCAAAGTAAACAAGACAAAGTCTCGCTATCCTTGTTTCCAGGGAGCATGCTAGCTGTGCTTCTTCCAAGATAGTTTTGTTTGATCCTTTGGCAGTCCATGGTGTGTGTGTGTGTATGTTGTTGTCAGGTGCCGTCGAGTCGTTTCCGACTCATAGTGACCCCATGCACAGCAGAACGGAACACTGCCCAATCCCACGCCCGCTCCATGATCCCTGCTATACTTGAGCCCATCATCGCAGCCACCGTGTCAATCCATCTTAATTGAAGGCCTCCCCCTCTTTTGTCGACCCTCCACCCTACCAAGCATGACATCCTTCTGCAGGGAATGGTCCCTTCTGACAACATGACCAAAGTAGGTGAGACGACGTCTGGTCATTCTTGCTTCCAAGGAGCATTCTGGCTGCACTTCTTCCAGGACAGATCTGTTAGTTCTTTTAGCAGTCCATGGTACTTTCAGCATTCTTCGCCAGCACCACAACTCAAAAGCATCAACTCTTCTTCGGTCTTCCTTATTCATTGTCCAGCTCTCACATGCATATGAGGCGATTGGAAATATCATGGCTTGTGTCAGGCGCACCTTAGTCCTCAAGGAGACATCCTTACTCCTTAGCACTTGAAACAGTTCCTTGGCGGTTGACTTTCCCAATGCTACACGTCGTCTAATGTCCTGACTGCTGCTTCCATTGGCATCGATTGTATATATATGTGTGTGTGTATATATATATATGTGTGTATATATATATGTATATGCATATGTATTATTGTGCTTTGGGTGTAAATTTACAAAGCAAATTTGTTTTACACTCAACAGTTCATGCACATTTGATTTCACGCCCCGATTACCGTCCCCAACCATAAAAAATTCTCCTCCTTTCCTGTCCCTGTGACCACCCCCTCCCTGTGCCCTTCTTAACCATGCATTCCTGTCTGTCCAGCTTTCCCTCTACGTGAAAGCTGCCCCTCTAGTGTCTATAAATACTTCTTCATGACACTTCGGCTTCACAATTATTTAACTAATCCAGGATTCATCCTGAGAGATACAGATAAAAGAAAACAAAGAAAATCCAGTCAGTTGACCTTCAGAACAATATCTTCACTTCAGGGACTTACTGCCTCAAAGTACAGGCTTTTCTATTTCAAACTATTTAGGTTTGTTTGGGTTTT